GTAAGCTCTGTATAACTTAGGTGGATGCGAGGTCACAACTACATTGATAAACTTGTAAGTGTAAGTAAGTGTAGACTAGACAATAGTCTTGCAGCACACTTTTAAAACAGGGTTATTAAGAATTTCCAGTGCTATAAATGAGTTTACAAATCCCTTGGTGGTCTTTAAGTGAAAAACACTGTGCCATTAGTATGCCATATTTCCAGTTCTATCAGAGAATTCTGATTTCTCTTGTTCACTTCTCTATTCCTCTCTACATGCAGCAAACTTACATTATCACTAGACTGTAATTGCCTTTATCTATGCACTGCTCTGGCATAAGCAGCAGCAGCCAGTGATCAGCCTGTAAGGCCAAAAGAAGGCCCCGGGGATCAGTGTTCTCAGCTGTGCTGTCTCACCCCAGCTTCTCTGCTAAAGTGACTGCAGATGATCCCTCTCAGCTTAAGCAGGGGGGCAGCTGCATCTGGTTGGCATTAAGTGAACCAAAAAGGGGCAGTCTTGGAGAGAGAGGATGCTTGTATTGCTTTAGTTCTGAGGTATTGGCTTAAGGTTTTCTTTTTGCTTCTCTAAGCAGTTGTGGATTTTTTAAGTAGTGTACCAAAATGGGGAAATTATGGAGGGATTTGATGCTTAAATTGTTGAAGGTACTGTTATTTGTGTTTGGAAGTAATTCCTTTTCTCCCTGTAGTAGGAATGGTAGCATAATGCTTGTCTTTGTATTCTAGTGACTAATAAAAGGTAGTTCTTGCTTCTTTGATTATATTTTGAGAGAGATGCTTCTACAAGATTGAGTAAACCAGAAATTGCTTATTTCATTTAAGACCTCTTCTTGCAGATTCTAGCACTCTGTTTTGGCTATCTATATTTGTAGGGATGTGTACTGAGAGCTTAATTCAAGTAATCTAAAAGGAACTAGATGTAGACTTTACTTTGCCTTAATTTTTTTCCCCCTTTGGATAAATGAATAAACTTCTACTATCATTATTATTACTTTTTTTAAATAACAATATACTGTCTAAGTGATATGGCTTCAGTCTTACTTTCTCCTTTTCTTCTAGCTGAAGTTGAGGAAAAATGGAATGATCCTTTAACAAAATAAACCAAGATAGTGACTCTATTCTCCTCTACTCCAGGTGTTCCTTCTGAAGAGAAATGAAATGCAGATGAACAGAACAACAAAGTAAGCCTGAGTTGATGAGCTAAAAAAAATTCTTCTTGAAAGAAGGTTATATGCATGGTAGCTGTTGGAGGAAAACCCTAGAAGTTTGTGGGGTTTTTTTCTTTGTGTGTAAGTAACTAAAACTCATTTCTAATGAAAAATAACATATTTCAGTGGCTGCTGCTAAATTGTGCTGGTAGCATTTCCAAGTTGTTGTTTAATTACCATCTCCAGTATTGTGTTACTGGAACCCCCAGAGCTCTCTAAAACATCCTATTTATATAAATGGTTATTTTTATCTACCTTTCACTTGCAATGGTAAAATCTTGTAGTGCAGGAATAATGCTCTAGACCAAGTAATAATGCAGGCTTACTCCTTTTATTTTTATTGCCTTCACTTAGCTTAACTGGCAAGTGATGACTGTGTCTGCTCAAATGCAGGGTGATGCAGTCCATGTGTACCTGGGTGGCTTTACTAGTGAAGTCTCCAAAGCTGGAGAATTGGGGTTTGTGTTCTGATTCTCAAAACACTAAATAAAAGAAGACTGAAGTAATTGGATGACTGATATGTCCAGGTACCAGCAGAGACTTTTTTTTTTAGCTTGGTTTCTAAACTTTGAGGTACTGAAATGCAGTGAAAACTTGTTCTAATAAAGTAGCATCTTGATCCAGACTTGAGACTTGATTAGAAGAGGTAGTCTAGAGCTAACAGCTGTGAGTGAGAGGAAAAGGAAGCACAGAAATCTGCTGTCTTTTCTTGAAGAGGAGGCGAAAGAAGATTTTGTTTATTTGACAAAAATCTCTTCGGTTAGGCTATGAAATGGCATACAGAATTATACTCTAGCTAAGCTGTGAAGTGGCGCTGTCAAACTAGGTGGTAGCATCTGAGTTCTGGACAAATGTCCATAGGTTTCCCATTTGAGGTTCTTGGCCCTTTTGTCTTGGTTTTTTTGCTTGCTATTAGAGGCAAGGAAGGGCAAGAAATCTTGATCATCTTCATAGAGTAACATCAAGTAAGGAGGCACTACGAGTTCTAATGTTGTCATACAGCTACAAATAATTTTGTCCAAAATGGGTAGGAACTTGCTTTCTTGAAGTAGATTTAAACAGAATGAGTCTGAAGAAGCTTTCATTGTAAATGTAATAAGACCTTTATTTGAATGTTCCAACATACTGGGTGGCAGAATCTAGCAAAAATAAACTGTTGGCAGTGGACTGTAATTCACTGATAGTTTAATGAACAGTCTGTCCTGCTATTGCAGGTAATGGGGCACTCTGCTGGGAACTCCTGTGCAGGATGAGGTTTGGCTCTGATGAGCTCTTCTCCTGTACCCCTGTAATTAGAGCCTTGATGATTTTTGACCCTTAGACTAGAAGGATAGGGGGTTGGGGAAAGCTCTTGTAAATATCTTCTGTAAATTCTAAACTTGTGTTTAGCTGGTTCTTAGTAACAGCTGAAACAGTAGCCAGACCGAGTTTTTTTTCTTTGCACATCTACTGACAAAGGAGTACTATCTGGTCATCTCTAAAAAGCAGTAAAACTGGTCTGCAGACAAGGTGGGTTTTTTTTTTTCCTTTTTAACTCCCTGGGTGTGGTTTTTGCAGCTGGTGAACTAGAGGTGGTGAGAAGCTCTTAATCCTTTTCACCTTCCTTGCCTCTCAGCTTTAAAATGTGCAGCTGGGGAAATGAGATAAACTTAAGTTTCCTTAAAGGTGAGATCCCTCTGAAGAAGCAGTCCTCTGGCATATGGCAAGCCTTGGAGGAGAATAAAGCAGTGGTTAGCTCCCGTCTAACAAAGGAGACTATAAAGTTCTCGAACCTAGCCACCACTGTTAAGAAATCCAACGTACTTTTTTTGTTTTCTGAAAGTGGGTTTAAGACACAAAACCATTGCAGGGGGAGGATGTATTTAAATAAGGCCATCAGGGAAAAAAAAATGGTTGGGGCATTGTAAGCACTTTTTAAAGAACACTGCTTTTTGAGAAGAGTGTTCAGTTACTACTGCAGGCAGTCCTGGTGATAAAATCCTGACCTTGGGCACTGTTCTCAAAAAAAGTGATTGGAGGAATTGCTGTGAACAGAACTTCACAGTTGGGGTGGGGGGGAAGGTTGTGGTTTTAGTCTTTGAACTAGAGAGAAAGCTTTCTGTAAACTTAGGGATCTTAGCTGTACCTAACACAGCCACTTTTAGAAAGCTTTAAAACAGTTGAAGAACATTGTTGCTCTTGCTGCACTGAAGGCAGGAAGGTCATGGCTGTGTCAGCACCACATCACTGAAACTGGTGAAACTTGGCTGATGCTTGGCAGTTGTGCGGAGGAAGCGAGTCTGCTGTGTTGTGGACAGAATTACTGTTTCGGAGCTCTTGGGTGAACTGACTTGCCAGGACAACTGTTGTCAAGAGAAAACTCTTATCGTGAAGAAATGAATTGTAGTTATTCCTCAAACTCAGAGGCTCAGCAGTGATGATGCTAATGAGCCATCAGCAGAGCTCCTTGTCTTGAACAAGCAGTGTGCTTTATTCATCAGAATAATACAAAGTTTGTGCCAATGCAAACTGACCAAACGCTTCCACAGCTCTAACCTTTATTCCCCACAAAAATGCTGCTCAGGGTCCAGCTGCTTCAGTTCCCCCTGGTGGCACCTGCAAGGTGACCTGCAGAGCCAGCTGAGAAGCCTGATGCTTGTGCAATGTACATATGACTTCTTTTTCTTTAATGCCTAGATAAGCATTAGACTTGCTTTCTGGACTTCTCCTGAAAATAGCCTATAGGATCTTGCATTGCTCTTGCTGAAAGCTGGTTTTGTGCTTAGCCAAGTAAGGAGGGGATATCTTTAAAAAAACATCTTTGCTCTTTGATCATGTGAGAGCATCTCGGCCTCGGAGTTGCATGTCTAAAAAGGGACAGTGAGGTATTTTTAGATTTTGCTCGTGTTGGGTCTTGAGAAATGAGAGTGAAAAGGGCACGAGGTGACTGTCCCGTCTTCCTGGAATGCTGTTAGCGATGGAGCGGATGTCCTGCGGCAGTGGGGGCTGTGGGGAAACGGGAGGAACTGCCCAGGTAGGCGTCCGGTGCTCCAGGTGGGGAGGCGGGGGTATGTAAGTGTTCAGCGCTTACGATTTCGGCCGCGTTCAAGTTCCGAGTGCAACGCGGCCGAAATCGTAAGCGCTGAACACTTAACGTGAGTTTTAACCTGTTGGACTCTTCCTGTTGGATTGCGCGTGTCGCCTAAGGAGGAGGAACGAGCACCGGGGCCGTTCGTGGTCCGGGAGCGGTGGGGGCGGGGCGGAGGGGCACGAAGTGGGACCGGCCGCTGGGCCGGGTAGAGGCTCGCGGCAAAGCCGAGTTGAAGCCCAAGCCTGGCGCTTTGCTGCCACGGTGCTGTCGTGCCGGTCGAATCGCGGCTACCGATCGTTACGCGTCGCGCCCGGCGGGGCAATGACCGGGGCCGGCCCCC